TTAAAGTAGCAACAACGCTACACATGTAAGTAAAAATAATTGAGTATGTGAACAAAGAATTCTAGTCTCTTCCCAGAATTGATTGTCCTGTCTAATCACCTGTTAGGCCTAATTAATCTTAGAAAGTTAATTTAAGGACGAGAAATGTTCAAATGAGGCCCTGCCGCTGCTTTAAAAACGCAAAATCCATTAAAGACCCAAATACCTCGTTACCTCATCGCCTGATTGCATTATTCACCCCGTGCCCGTATTCACATTTAGTCAGCGCACGTGGTCTTTACGTGTGGATTCGGGTTTGTTTAGTTGCGCAAACTACAAGAATGGAGGAAATAAGAAGCAAAAATCCAAAGTGCAGGTCTTTCAAAGCCCAATTTGTCAATTACGAATGTAACTACAAACCAAATTTGATTGACTCGTCGAGATTGGCTGTGAGTATTAAACAAAGAGAGTAATAAAGACCCAAAGCTAGTCATTTATAAATGAACTCTATCGATCGGCGACAAAGGATTTTTGAATTTCTGACCTTCATCTCCGCTTTATACAGGGTGATTTTTTCGATTCTAAAAATCGAAGATTCTATACCAACGGATATGCACCTTGATTAACTTGATTTATATACAGGGTGGGTTTTTTAGTGCGATAGAGTTCATTATATCCGATGGTGTTGAACTTTCGAAAAATAGTTTCATATCAAAGTTGTTGACGTACAAAGTGCGCACATTTTAAAAATATCTTATCTGATATCGAGTGTCTCAGAAAAGCGAAGCAAGATCAAAGTATATTTTTTTAAACAGAACTATCCATTTTTAATTAGCTCATGGAATGCAGCTTGAAATGCTGCATATGCACGGTAAATTGTGTTTTTTCTTACTTGCGACGTTGGCAGATTATCGCCATTTTAGTAAAATTTTGCTTAAAAAGATGGTATTTAAAAATTCATTATAGAAGCAAAAAAAGAAGTTAGAGATACAAAAAAATTCGTCTTTCTAGTCACCACAGATCCGTTAAGAATTCTATTGAACCAAAATATCAATACATTCTACAGGGTGTTAACAATTTGGACTTTAATCTAAAACTTTTTAACGAAATATAACTTTTGTTTTTCAAATGGAAGTACCTGTATATTAATACGTCATCAGATAGGCAATTTACAAAGTTACAAATTTGCATTTACGCTTTAAGCTGTGAAATCAACCGTTTTCAAATTATAATTTATTTTATTTACAAATTTTAAAAAGTTGCTACATTTTGTAAGGTGTTCAATACCATCGGAAATAATGGACTCTATCGCACTAAAAAACCCACCCTGTATATAAATCAAGTTAATCAAGGTGCATATCCGTTGGTATAGAATCTCTCGATTTTTAGAGCTTTGTGAACCTCCATTGTGAATGTTAAGTTTGGGTTTGCGTTGGCGTGATAATGTGGACAGTTTGTGGGAATTGGGATGCATCCTGTTTTGGCAGGGAATTTCCGGAGCTGATTTATTGACCACAATACGCCCGATTCGCATATTTTGCCCATAAAAACCAGGACAAAGTCGTCGCCAACTGAACACGTGCCTCCCAATTTCTGCATCGAACCGAGTTCGAAAGTTTCCTGCTGATTTATCTGTAGCCATTCTCCATTCTTTTTGCCACCACTAATTGTTTATAGGGGAAGTTGGTGTTTCGTGCTAGTTTCCCTATTCTATGGCCGATACATTCTCGTTGGCTATTCGATTCTGTATCGTCTATGCCATCATCACTGCTACTATTTTCGCATTAAAATTCCCATCAGGATTTCAGTTCGTAAACAACAGTTTAGAGAGGTGACTGGCTGTCTCCGAACAGGCATTTTCCAAACAAGAAAAATAGTTTTCGATTTTCCGTAATGGAACTCGCTGACGTGGCTCTGGAAAACAATATTTAAATTCACCATAAAGCCACTGGAAAATTCGTCCACGTTGAACGAATACTGTCACTTCCTCGGGTTACAAAGTGGATTTCGCTCGGTTTGGAATCCACTTTATTCACATTACAAATCCAATCTTGGCCATGTATTTGCTTTTAAAAAAATTGCAAAATCACTCGAGATATGTGCCGAAGAAATACGTATCTAAGTCCTAGAGATTTTTCTCTAATTAATAGCGCTTGGAGAAACAAACAATTCCTGGAGCAATCTAGGAAAGCTTGCATTTCTTACATTAGTTTCAAGTTCAATAGTTTACTTTAATTTGCTTATTTCAATAAACTTCAATGTGTCCAAATAAACCCGAAAACTAGTTGCCAACAATAAAACAGCACTTTTATTGAACTGGACTCATAAATGTGGAAAATATGGGCCGCACGAAACATTTACGCCATTTAAACGATTCTCCTGTTTATTTTTGCCTGTTTCAATTGCTGACAGTCTCCAATTTACTATGTAATTCCCCGTCTAGGCATCAGCATTAGCACATAAATTGTCTACAAACATGCCTGGCTAATTTGCAAACGTTCATTACGCATTGGGCGTTCGTTAACACAGCTCAAATTGAATCCGCCCGATTTTTCAAACTAAAACCGCAAATGCATCCAGCCAGATGGGGCTAAAATGAAGGAAAAATCAAAGACAATAAACATATATTAACAAAGAGAAATCGAATTTAAAACATCGCCCAGTTGGAAATCGATGAAGCGATGGCCTACAAAACTGTTTAATTCCCGCATTCAGTGCATGAATTTGCGATTTAATCTCGTGGATGTTTTGATCGAACTGCTAAAATATCAATGTTTAAATACCAATTCGATTGGACTACAGTTTCCAGTTCATCCCTTTACTCGTCGAAAATCCCTAACGAATCAAACGTCATAACGTACAAGAAGAAAGCCCAGCTCAGGATTCTGTTTTCTCAAGAAAATCCTCTTTGCGGCTCAATTTAACCCTGGAATGCGGTTATTTCCATTCAGTTAGTTCATGTTTCTTTCATGGCATCTTCTACTAGAACAACAAAGTAATCCATTTACAGCGCCGGTTCATCTAAAAGTAGCAATAATTCCGATTTAGCGTGACCCACAAAAATGAGCACACATGCATTCGTACTGTAAACATGTAAACATGGATCGACATTCCGAGATTTCCACCATGAAAAACATACGGGGCACGGCATGTCCTGAAATAATGCATGCCATAATTTTCATGCCACACACCAACAGCACGAAGAAATGGTGACAAAAATCACCCGATTTCCTAGTCTTTTGGCCAATGGAGACAGGAAAAATGAGGCTCAGAAAGATCGCTTCCAATCTGAGCAGGATGGGGGTTGGACTAATGTTTGAAATTGCCATAATTAAGGTCAGCGCTAATGAATCAAGCTTCATTTTTATGTTAATAACTGATGAAAAGTTTGCGGCTTAATTGGAGGAAGAGATTAAATTAAAAATAAATCAACCTTTTTCGTAGGCGAAAGAAATTGCACCGAATTTAGTAGATTGTGACATAGATCACTGAGAATCTTTCTAATAGAATTTTGCACTAAAAGACTCCAATTTAGACTTTACCCTCTATTTCTTTGCACTTACGTGTTGGAAGTAGCGGAAATTAATGTTTTTGGCAAAAAAATGTTTTTTTTTTACAATTTACACTTTTCACTTATTTCTACCAATGTTAAAGACTCATCCGTCTCGTATCTACTTTCTCGTAGACAGAAAAATACTCATCTTTATGTATGGAGAGAACTTTAAATTTTAAATTTTTTTCCGATAAGTCAAACTTTGACAAATGAAATACACAACTTAATGTCCTGTCAATATCAGTGCTCTCGTTAATTTTGACCACGAAAGTCGATGCAGAGCCATTTTATATATTTTTTTAGTTACGTTCTTTTCCTTCCTGAGTTTCATTCAAAGTGTGAAATAAAAATGTTTATCTCGTTTATTTCATAACGTTTCGGCGAGACAACAGCGCCATCATCAGATTTAAAATTCATACAAACTACAAACACCAATTTACAATTAAAATATGTTGTACAAAAACTATAATTTATAAAGCTTTAAAACATTCATTAGTTCTTGACGAAAATAATGTTTCCCAACTATTAAGTAAGTTTTTCAAATGTTTTGCTCTCCCAAAAATTTGTTTTTTCCTTAATAACTAATGAATGTTTTAACGCTTTATAAATTATAGTTTTTGCACAACATATTTTAATTGTAAATTGGGCTGTTGCGTCGCCGAAACGTTATGAAATAAACGATATGAAAAAATTATTTTACGCTTTGACTGAAACCCAGAAAGTAAAAGAATATAATAACAATTACACGCAGTCAAGAAAAAATATATATTTTTTAATTTTGATCATTTGATTTCTATAAAATGCCCGAATTATGTTAATGTATATAATTTATGAATGAATATGAATAATGTTACTTATGTTAAATGCCCGAAAAATTTATATTAATTATAATTAAATAAAATTTATATTTTATCGTGAAAATGAATATAATATACTCCCGAATATTTACCAGTGTGGTAAAATAAAGGCGCTATTGACTTACTTATTGATGCATTCAAAGGGCGATTGCGCGTGACTTAACAGCTTTATTATCGATAAAATGACATCCCTATGGGACAAAAAGTCACGAAAATGACTTTATACTTCAAACGTCATTTAATAGAATAAAGTTCAAAAATGTACAAATTTTGCACTTTTTAGCGATCCCTCAGTATATTTAGCGCATAGGAAATGTGCGTAAAGTTTGGACCAATATCACGGGATAACGCTGAAGTTTCTAGAAAGTGTTTCAGGTAAGTTTAAATTTTTTCGTTAAAAAAACCCATTTCGGCGATTTTGTAAAAAAAAAATCTGGGACTGAGCAATATCTGCAAAATAGGTACTCACAAGTGTAAATTTATGATCTGACTGAATTGTACTCTACAATTTTTATGCTCTTTTTCACCGTTTGAATTACACTTCATCATCAGACTTAACCTAATCAAAATATGACGTTATCACAAACAAATACCCTAACAATTAGTTATACCTTTTGTCAGCGGCTCAACTGTCAAAGCGTGCAATTGTTCTTCAGCAATAAAGGGCCGTGATCGTCAAATTCACTGAACCAAGTCAACACTCGCTCCTCAGATCCTGAGGAGGTCCGCGGTCGCTCGAAACGTCGTGGAATTATCACTTTTTTCCATAATGCCGGTGGCACATAATCACTCGTTTATCGCTTAACGGGGGGGCGTCCAATTTCGAAATTTTTGGGCCACACTGACACCGACGACGCTCGAATTTCGACGTTCATCGTCGGACTGGCGGCGTCGACGTCGCGGCGCCTCACTAGAGGGGTGGGACAGTGGCCGCCCCTGTCACGACGCCCCGCAGGACCCGCTTTTTTCATCTGCACTCATTCTAACATTTTCTTCCTTTCGTCTTTTCGCTTCTTTAGCTTAGTTTTTGTAACCACACAATACGCTCTTTTACAATGAGCAATTGTCAAAGGTTTTTGCGGAGAAAAGGACAGTTTCGTTGTTTTTTTAAACTAAGAAAACAATAAGAATCGGTAGGGAACCTCGTAAAATCAACCACAGTTGTTTCTTTCTCTGGACTAAAGTCTACTACAGGATTAGAGAAATATATTTTTCTACTAGGCGAGTGCATTATTTATAAAACCATAAAGTTGTATTTCCCCTTAAAAAAAAAGATGAATTGAACTGGCTGACAAGCAAAACCAGCATTTTCCACGACAAACAAAAAACCATTGTTCTCCACATATACAATAGAAACCATTAAACATAATTACAGTGGAAAATGAACATCAACTAACTTTGTTTAATCTATTTTCCCAATTAAAAGACGCCAGTTTGAGCATACAACGGATTATGGTTCTTATAATCCGTTCCATTTAATGGTTTGATCATTAATATCGGTATTTTAGAGCATTCCATAGAATTTAAGTTGTGCAGTAAAATATTTTCAAATGCAAGTGAGCAAAAATTACAATTTTTTGTTGAACTCATCTTTCTCTATTAAAAATTAGCGGTTGATCAACAAACATCAGAATCAACACAATTTAGCTCAGAGAGCAAACAATTTGAAATCAAACGTTAAATTGTATAATTTTCAAATCCTTAATTTTTTTCCAGCTTGATGGTCGCATACATACGGGCCGATTCGATTACAGTGCAGGCGGAGTGGGCAGGAATATTTGCGAAGCGCTGAGCAAATTGAACTGCCCCACACACTTAATATCGGCTGTAGGAGACGACCACCAAGGTAAAACGCCGCTTTAATCCACGCCTGGATTTGGTTGTAATTTTTTCTTTAATAGGCAACAGTTTGCTGAACCACATCCCGCAAGAGTCTCATCGATGTATTGCCAAACTTTCCGAAGAGAACACAGCTCAATGCATAGTAGTGGTGGATAAGCAAGGAGACTGTCGGTTTCTCATGGGAGACATGCACATTCACGAAAAAATATCTCTATCTATGGTAATTTAAGGGAGAAAAAAAGGTGTCTTATTCTCAATCCTCAATTTGTCCAGGTGGAGACGCACGAGCAACTAATCAGAGACGCTCCGCTGATCGTGATGGATGGCAATATCGGAATAGACACAATGGATAAAGTCTTGGAAATGGCCCTGAAATACAATGTGCCAGGTGAGTTCGCATCAACAAATAACGTCTATTTAAGCAGAATATCTATATTTCTTTAAAAAAGTGCTATGACATTCTCAAGAATTAACATTAACAGTCCCATAAACTAAAATATTCCAACCTTTAAGGCATTTTAAAACTAAAACTATTCAAATTGCATAAAAAAAATGGAGGGAATTTGTAATATCAACTATAAACTATTCGAATTCGATCACAATTTGAGACACGCTACAAAAAGTATTTTGTACTCAAGTGAGATTCAAGGCCACGTATTCGTTAAAAACGTTTCCAAAAATATACAGGGAAACTTTTCTTACTCTATATGCATCCCAACTGAAACAATGTGCAAAAGCAATAAATACATTTGGGCCTGCTTGGTCCAATGTGCGAGTGAATCTGAAAAATTGGCTTTCATTACTTCGCCAACGTCCAACGCATGAAAAACTGCATTTTGCCCCCGAACAATAGACTAGTTTGATTAGAGCTCCTTGAAACCAACTTAAAAAAATAAATACACTCTACCCCACAATATCGGGCGGTGTCACAACTTACACCTTGACGGCGATTAATAATTTGATACATTCCAACCAAGGCGATGCTGCGGATTCGGTTGCATCTGCATGATGAGATTCTTTGATTCGCGCCTTCTATCGTAGCTCAATCGGGCCTCTTTATAGAGGCACAACGCGGCGAAACCATGGAAGAAAAACGAAAGGCAGGCAAATCCATAGGACCAGCACAGGTAGTTGAAATTGGGGTACATCAGCCAGTCTCGTCGCGCGTGCGATCCTCCAAAGACAGCAATCGCCAGAAACATGAATAGAGCTGAAAATTAGCAATTATGGACCGTAGGGCCTTATTAGAGTTTGTTACGCTTACTAGTGACTGTTACACAAACAAAATCGACGGCAGACAGAATCCACTCATACCGGAGTACGAACTCCAAAGGCCATCGACACAGCTGCATGGCCATGACGATTTGAGTGCCGAAACTCAAGAGAAACGACATTGTCACAAAGGCCTGCACAGCCATTAGCCAAGAGGGCAACAGCCACTCCCTGATCACAAAGTACTCCTTGCTGAAGACATGGTGACAGCCGTCGAATGGATGGTCGAACTGATAGGAGGGGTACCTGAAGTTGCTGAAGCAGTACTCCCATAGCCCCATGTTCTTGAAGCTGGAGAATGTTTCTTCGTAGGACTTGACCCAGTAGGGGCTAAGAGATAAGAGCACTTGGTTTCGATGTTGGCGGCATATTATCTAACAACAATTACCTGCAGAACGCTATCATGAGGAACATTCCTGCTATGTAGGTAAGAAGGGCCCCATAGTACAAGTACTCTATGGAAGATTAGCAAATTACTTTGTCTGGTTAAAGTGACCGGTAGTGTGCTTACTTGAGGCCTTTGGGTAGTTGTTTTTCTCAAACTCGGAGCTACTCATGGTCATTAGAAAGCCCTAATGCACCCCCAATGTTAGCTAAATGTTGTTGTTGATGTCCTCCACACCCAAATTGAATTTTGACAAGGCTGACAAGAAGAATTCCGCGAGAGAGAGAGAGAGAGAGAGATAATTTTCCGAGCATGTGGCAGCGTCGTAATAGTCGTTAATTTAGAATATTTTTTTGTTCTTTATTTGTTTTCAGCTACTAAATTTTATGATTTTTTAGAAAAAAATGTTTTTGTATACCGACGCAAATTGCAATGCAAAAGTGCAACGATGTACGGTTTGTGGTTGAGTCCTGTCACTTGCCGGGGTAATTTTTTTTGTATTTAAAAAAATTGTAAGATTTTAAGTGGTAAGTAAGCAGCCCTTGAAAATGGTTTTTAACAATACTCAAATATTTACAAAAGCGTACGTTGTAAATCGTAATTTGCTCTTTGGGTTTTTTCACTTGCTTTCCTCTTATACCTAATATTGAATATATAGATATTCAATATTAGGATATTTATAGAAATATCCGGTTTCTGTATACGCGAACGAACGATGAATCTCAAAAAATAAAATATATATTTTTTAAATAAGGCTATAACGTACACTTTTTCAAACATAGGGTGTTTGAATAATTTTATCCAGATAACTGAGATTTTGTAGGCATTTTGCCAATTCTTACAGATACTTAATGAGCGCTCAATCACATCAAGCTGAACGTTTTCTCACAGTTTTCTACGCAAAAAATAGTTTTTTTATATCCTAATCCTCTATCCTATATCCTTTTAAGTCCTATCGAAAACTTGGAATGTTAGCCGTTGTAGACAAAAGTTGCATTTAATGATGATGCAAAAAATCGAAAAAAATAGTGTACCATCATGTATTTATTAATGATTAAGTTCAAGGTACAAAAAAACATACAATATCTAGATATAAAATACTGGTACAAAAAAAACATAAATCTAAATCGGTAATTGTTAATCAGGAATTTATAATCGCTCAGTTCACAACGTACAAGAATGTAAATTTTCAACACAAAAGGTTGGGGCCTGTTGTACTTAAAATCTACTTAAATACGTATTTATGACTCAATGGAATGGTTCGTTCGAAAAATTAACTCGTTATTCCCTGTGCGTTCTACCCTGTCTGATTTACAGGTAAATATGGACGGAATTTACAGTTAAACTAGGTAGGTACTATTCTAGATAAATTGTTTGGGTGTTACGCAATTAACATGTATACAACTCAAAAAAGTCGCGTCATGTACATCAGCAGTTTAAAAATTCTAGAAAAAACGCTTAATACTAAAGAAAATCAGGAGATTCGTTTCAACAATAAGGCCACTGTTTCCACATAAGAGGGTCTTTTAAATTTTTTCATGTTCCATTTCAAACCTCATTTGTGAGTCCTTCAGCTGCTTTCGTTTCCTTTGCTGCACGTATCCCTCAACGAAAAACAGGGTGGACGCAACTAATGCTGCCACCGCACCGATACAGGCCAGTGCGAAGGACCACCCGAAGAAATTGTTATCGTGGCCTGGCATCCAGTTGTCCTTGTTCGCTTCACACGCAAAAACAACAACGGCAATTCCTCCAGCCAAGCCGCCTACCAGCAGAATCCAGGCGTTGAGCTTGATTAGAGTGACGTAGTGTTTGATGTCCGGGCCGCAGCACAAGAAATACAACAGAGTCAGAATGGCGCTGAGCAGAGCCGCTATGAAGCACACGGTGAAGAAAAATTGAGTGGCCACCAGAAATGCCGGCACCAGGAAGCCACGGATCTGATCATAACCGGTTGTGAAGGGGTCGTAAATCCAGCGGCAACCGACGAAAAATCTTCGCTGGTTGATGTCGACTGGGTCCGGAAGCGATCTGAAGCAGTGCGTCCATAGACCGAAGCGATCCAGTCGGGCTCCGGTTATCCGGTAGTCCGAGACAAGCCAGCTGGGGGTGGAAAACGACACTGCGATTAGGATGAAAGTCAGCAGGACAAATCCAATAGCAACGCTGCCTGCCAATGATCGCTTCTTCATCTACAAACAGAAAAATAAAAAATTAAAATAAAAGCTTTCCGGAGATGGATACCTACTCTGGTATCAAATTCTGATTCATGAAAGTTGATGGAAGGTATTGAATTAAATACACGGTGTTTCCTCATAAGTTGACAACCCCCCAAGATCGTTTCTTTCAAAAAAATTGTGGCAGTGGCCAACACAAAAGTTGTTTAATTTTACACAAATTTTTTAAACCTGAATTTAAAATAAAAATAGAAAACACGGAAATGTGAAAATTTTACATCAAGTCGTTTTTTTAAAATGAAACACCCTATATATTTTTAGACAGATTTTTTCTCTGATTTCAGAAATATATATATTGCCTATATTTGTATTAGCCGTTTTTTCTGTATTATGTTTCAAAAATTTTACATAGCAACAAACTCAAGTAGCCGGAAATGACACAAAAACTATAGGACGACAACATAACGGAATTTATTGCTACTATAAATATGAAAACAAATAAATAAATAAAAACAAAATCATTTGATCAACACTGATTTAGTTTATGACATCCGTTTATCGCTAGACATGCAAATGTTGAATGAGGTAATGAGGAATAATCTACTTGAATTTTATCGATAACGTTTTGAATATATTGGTTATGATTAATATTAATATCGTTAATTGCATCGACTATTTTAAGGCGTCTAACTAGAGTCTCATACACAATAGGTATCCTTTAAATAACCCCAGAGAAAAGAATGAGGCGTTAGGTCGGGGCTATTTTGAGGCCAAGATTTTTATTTGAAAAAGGTGCTACTGGGCGAACGTTATGGGGTGGATGAAGCGCCTTGTCAAATTTCAAGGCTATTTTGATTTGTTTCTATTTATACTTTTTAAAACGTAATATAGGAAAAACCGGCTAATACAAATATAGGAAAAATATATATTTTTCAAACCAGGAAAAAAATCGTAGCGGTATATCTAAAAATATACAGGGTGTCCCAAAAGTAATGGCACAAAACAAAATGGCGGATTGCTGGGTGAAAATATGATGATTTAACACAACTTATCTTAGTCCCAAAGTTAACGGTTCCGGCATACAGGGCGTCAAACTTAAATTTTAATTTCAGTTTTTCGTTATTCTACATTGAACGGTGCTGCATATTTGGACAAAATTTGGTATGCAGGGGTTTTTGAACATAAGAAATCCAAATGTCCCATCAGATTTTGATCAACTTGTAGAAAAGGCCACTTGCGGCGATATCTGGGCAATAAATGGTTTTAACTTTTTGGTCACCCGGTGTTCTGACTTCTGAGCTCGTTGTGTCTAATCGCCTAATAATTTTGCACAAAAAAGGTATTCTTAGTCGATGTCCCAACAAGCCTCTGTTTCCGAGATATTTGCGATTAAACTGCAAAATGCAGAATTGTGAGGAAATTTTACAATGCATGTCAAGTAGTGTGACACAGCGACGTGGATTAGTTATTGTCTGTCATAGTGACACTAGTGCCACTACATACTAGTGTTGATTTCAATTAATTAATATGCCAAGGCATAATTTTTTTCAAACCTGGAAATGCGAGATATGGTTACAGTCTGTCCAGCAAAATTTTAGTAGACGCAGTGCCAAACGGCGTTACTTAGAATTGTATCCCAATAGGAAGCAACCGAATTTCAAGTTATTCGGAGACATCTACCGTCGATTAGGGGAAACTAGTTGCTTTAGGACCAAAGTTAATATTTTGGGACGTCCGGAAATTTTAACTCCAGATCAAGAGGAAGACGTTCTGGTTCATGTTCCAGAAAATCCAGAAATAAGCACAAGACGATTGGGAACTGTAACTGGCGTAAACAAGTCTTCAGTTCAGAAAAGTAATGTCACCAAGTAATGTCGATCCGATGTTTTTGAACAAAATTTTGCTTACATGAAGCTACATTTACTTTAATGTGTCTTTAATTTTAGAAACAAACAAATGTTTGCATGTTACATAAATAGGGGATGTTGCAAACCCTTATTCAGTAACCGAAAGGCATTTTCAACATGAGTTTAAAATTACTAATGACGATTTTCTCAGGCCGCATAATACAATAATAATAATATTAATATAAATATGTACCACAAACTTTGAATGGCAATTCTTATCTAGAATTTCTTGACTCGATTATCTGACTATTTCGATGATTTACCGCTGAATTTGTGGCATTATATAATTATTATGCACGATGGGGCATAACCCCATTTTGCTAGAGCAGTTAGGAATTACCTAAACTAACATTTTACCAATCGGTGGATAGATAGGTCGTGGAAGTTCTTCGGCTTGGCCGGCGCGAAGTTCTGACTTTAACACATTAGATTTTTTATTTTTGTGTTTAGGGTTATTTAAAATCATTAGTGTCGGAAAAAACGGTAGACACCCGAGATGAGTTGATAAATAAAATTATGAATGCCACCGAATCATTTCGAAATGAAAATATGTTAAAGATAAAAAGATCTTATTGCTAAATGATCCTATTGCTAAAAGTGTAAATATTTTTTCACTTTTACTTGTTGTGGTTTATTACCTATTGTGGTTTATTTTTTGTAAATACTGCATTTTGCGGTTTAATCGCAAATATCTCGGAAATCGGTTTCCGAATTTCCGACTTCTTGAGATATCGACTAAGTATATTTTTTGTGCAAAATTAATAGACGATTAGAGCCAAGCAGTTTAGAAGTAAGAATACCGGGTAACCAAAAAGTTGATCAAAATCTGATGTCAGATTTGGATTTCGTATGCTCAAAAACCCTTGTATACCAAATTTCCTGAAAATATGCAGCTCCGTTCAAAGTAGAATATCGGAAACCTGAAATTAAAATGTAAGTTTGACGCCCTGTATGTCGGCAACCGTCTACTTTTGGCCTAAGGTAAGTGGTGTTAAATCATCATATTTTCACACCAGGAATCCGCCATTTTGTTTTGTGCCATTACTTTTGGGACACCCTGTATAGGGTGTTTCATTAAAAAAAATACTATGGCAAATTTTGACATTTCCGTGTTTCATATTTCCATTTTAAGCTCAGATTTTAAAAAAATTGAGTAAAATTAAACAACTTTTGTGTTGCTAACTTTCACAATTTTTTTGAAATAAAGGATCTTGGAGGGGTGTCGACTTATGAGGAAACACCCTGTACATGATTGATTACAAATGAGAATTTTTATGTGCCTTGCAAAAAATCACTTAAGTAGGTAAATCGTCTGAACTATAAACTTTTTGTTCTTCACGTGAAAGACAATTCTTAGAGTGATTTTAAGAATCCCAAGAAAAAAGACTGAATGAGCGTCATAAGTGTTGCTATTTTAAAATGTTTTCTTGTGTATTTTTCTGTTTTTTTTTTATTTGGAGAAAGGAAAACAGAACTTTTGAAGTACCTAACAGATTTTGTAATAAAATTTAAAAATTATTGCCTTGTTAAAATTTGTTATGTGCATAATGATGGTCAAATATACTTGCTTTTGCGATATGAAAAACAATTGAGTTTCTGAAGAACATCAGCAGATATGCCTTAAAGTACGTATACTTTTTGCCACACTTTTTTGTATGACTTGGAAGCTCGTCTTCGGGGTACAGATTTCACGACATTATGAAGGAAAATCTCTCTCATGGTGTTATTCAAATGAAAATCTCTAACAAAACTTACAATTTTGTCGTCGTATCGACGGTCGACCATTGAGTCGGCGATTGCAATTGGCTTCCACTCACACAAACACGTAGTCACAACCTGTTTTAGGTCCGTATGCGGTTGGCAGGTAAAGGAAGACACATTAAAGATTCACTAGAATCACAGTTGCATCGTGGAAAAGCGCGGAAAAATGAAAAAAATCTATGATTCAAGTGGACACGCCTGTAAACATCGAAGAAAACAACAACGTTCATACCATAATAGTTACGTTACGAACCAAGGGGACCATTAATTAATCAGCCAACCATCGACCCAGCCTTTGCACAGGTGTGGACTGAGAAAAATGCCCACCTTACGGGCGATTGTTTTACGTTAATGCGAGCAAATATTAACCGTGGAAAATGCAGATTATTATGCTTGATTACTGCCCTGTATGTGAGACCATATCGCATAATTGGTTTAAAATGCATATTTTCCTTAGTGCCATATGACCCATTTTCCTTATACTACTGCGCTATGGGTTTTCAAACATCTTGCACTGTTTTCAAGGTTTTTTATAATGTGCTCTGAACATTAATTAATTATTAAGTTTTAAGGCTTGCGTGCGTTTGCTTTATTAATGACTGATCCAATACGAAAAACTTGGAAATGGTAACTGAAGAGTTATCATATTGATTTTAATAATAAATCCCAAACTGTTGAAACAGCGACCGTGAAAACCAGTCTTTAACAAAGCTAAAATAGCCGTCTAAAAATTGCAGTTGCCTAAATCTTAAAAGACTAAGAGTCCATTGTATCGAATTGAAGGCTTGGAAAACAATGGCCATACTTGAACTCTTTCATCGCGAAACTAGGTAATATAATTCACACCATTTACAAAACGCAATATATTTAAATGTTTGCCTTACATGAGGTAATTATAGTACAAAAATATGTGCCATTGGCGGTTGTGGCACGGACGGAGTGGATCGCAACTAAACAAAATCATATATCTAAATACATAGGTACACATTTAAAAACTTAACTTAGAAGTAAACAAAATTCAACGAAACGTATATAGTAGAATTTATATGTAAATCTAGTAGGTTGTTTACTAACAACCATATCCACACTAACCAAGTAATGAAATTCGAGAATAAATGAGTCGAGTTTAAAGTCATGCTGGTTAAAAAATTATCTAGCATTTGGCGGGCAAGTAGAGTAATTGCCCAGATTAACTAGCTAGATGTCAGTGTGATGAGGGGCAGGTCCACTTAAGCGCCTGTAACGGACCCTTCGGGCCTCCACCAAAAACAGGATTCCTGCCGGGAAAAGCAGAAGGGCTCCCAAGCAGGCAATTCCAAAAGACCAGCCCAAGTCATTATGATGCCAGTAGGGCATCCAGGCTCGACTATCGCCTTTGCAGCCGAAGATCAGCACAGCAATCAGGCCGCATATGCCGCCCAGGATCAGATTGGAGGCAATGGTCAGCAACAGCAAGTAGTATTTGTCGTGGTCCCTGCTGCAGAAGCAGTACATCCATGTTAGAAAAGCGGCCACCAGCACCAAAGTCATGCACAACGTGAAAAAGAATTGGGTGGCAATGAAGAAACCTGGCAAGAGAAAGTCGTCGATGATGTAGTATTCCTCTTCGAAGACCCACCAGCAGCCAGTGAATTTGTAGTCGAAGCGATGGTGGAAGTCTTCGAAATTATTAAAACACACCTCCCAGAGACCTGAAATGAAGATTGCGCTGTTAATAGTGTCGAATGTAAGGCACTTTACTGCTACACGAAAGGGTTTAAGCGAAAAATACCCACCAATTTTCTGAAAACTTGCATCTGCGATAAATCCATCGTTCACTAGCCAGTAGGGCGTTGAAAACGCCAATAAAATACACAGAAATGCAGTTGCCGTCGCCGATATAGCGGCAAAGCCAGTTTTCGACTTTCCTCCCATTCCACAGTCAGGATTCTACCTTTTACACCAAAACAAATATTAAAGAAATTGATTTGTTTCCAGAATGGAAATTCTTCAGTTTTGTGAAGTAAATATCATAAAACCTAACCCTAACCACAGACCACAGATTACTAAACCCTTGCCACAGATCCTGCTAAAGACAGTACAATACAGCCCGACGTTGTCGGTTGCAGCACTTAAAATATTCAATTTTAGATAAATACACTGAAAATTTTTTAAAGATGACAAAAAAAATGAATCAATTAAATATTTCTTGATCTTTTTCAGTATTTTACGAGCCGACCGACATCGGCATTTCCCGAAAACCCTTTAAAACCGCACACTGGAGGGCCATCAAATTCATAACTCCCAACATCGGGGAGCTTCATGATATTGCAAATTGTTTAAAAATACCTGCAAACTTGTCGACTGAAGCACTAGATAAAGTTGCAGAAGTTGCTGAAAGCTTGGCCTGCTACATCGACAATGTCCTGGTCACTATGGGTCCAGAAGGTGTTTTAATAGCCAGAAAAGGGAGTGCTGGGGATTCTCCTATGAAAAACGCCAACTTTGCGGAAAAACTTTCAGTGCGTCATTATCCAGTGCACGGAAAAACCGAAGTTATTAATGTGAGCGGTGCAGGCGACTGTTTTGCCAGTGGCTTCATTGCAGGGCTGCTGCAGAACTGCTCTGAAAGTCAATGTGTGTCTGTGGGTTTTGCTGCGGCTGTTGCAGCTCTAAAGTCGCGAACCCCAGTTCCTGAAGCCATTTTTAAAGGCCAACGTATATCAGGATTAAAGGAAGCTGAATTTATAGCTCTGCATTAAAAAGTGCAGCTGAACTGTATATTTGCTATTTTTGTTTCATCGTTTTCACTATTCTTGAAACATCATCATAATTGATTCATCTCGGGTTTTAACTGTTAAAAACTATTTTAATTTAAATTACTAATAACTGAATAATAAATTCAAGGAATTGAAAAAGTTAATTGGCTGATTTGATCAGTAAACTCTTTTTTGTGAATAGTGCAGAATTTCCTCTAAGTTATATTTAAATATATTGTTTGCTTCAGTTGGCAATTAAGTACAGCATACATAACCGAATGGAGAGCCTAGTTGCCTCGGACTGGTAAGTAATAACCATGATACAATGGATACTAATGAATGAATGTATTCGTTGTATCATGAGTAATAACTACAGTAATCGGGTCTTTGTCTTACCTTTGGGTTTTTTCTCAAAATCTGCTGTTCTCAAATTCAGTTCATATTCAAAAAAAAATTGCTATCGCGGTTGGAACTGATCAAAAAAATATAGTTAACTTTTCTAGAGATACATAGTTTTCAACAATTATTATCTAGAAGCAACAGTCTAAAGACCTTGAAACTTGGACCTTTGTGGGTTGAGAATAATCAATGAAAACCATGAATGCTCTAGAGGAGCAATTGCAGATATTTAAATTGTTCCTGATAAAGATCAAAGTTTAGTTTCGTTGCAATTTGCGATCGAAGACAAGAAATTTGTAGTCAAGAAAGTAAAATTGTTACTTTTCGAGTTCTGCATTATGCAAATCACTGCCAATTACTGTTTAGAGCTAAGTGGAGTCAGTGGGTTCTACTAGATGGAAGATTCTGGTTTTTCACGAGGTTTCAAGTGACTACCTTCCTTGGGAATGTGACCTTATTGAATTTGACCAGCTAATTAATGATAATTATACTGACGTTTTTTTGAATTCCCTAGTTATTGATCTGCATTTAAATTATAGGTGGATAAGATCAGTTCACTTCAACTGTAGAACTGCCCAAAAAGTTTATTTATTACTATAATGTGAATGTGTACATGATTTTGTTATTATTATGTACAGGGTGATGCAAACTTGACGCCCAAGGTCTACTGCCAAAAAGAAAACTGATAATAAAATTATAATTCTAGGGTCTCAAATGTGATGCTCTAAAGGCCGTGTCCCATGCGTCCGTTTGAACGATGATACGATCGAAACACTTTCGTACCATTGTATCACCGTACAAACGGATGCATGGGACACGGCCTTTACTGAAGCTATTTTACTGAATTTTAATTTACTGAATTTAATAAGCTTTACTGAATACTCGCATCGTCTCTTTAGACGTTTGGGTCAGAGATATTTTCAGAGATTTTTTAACATATATTTGATTAAGAAAATAATTACAAACATGGTTGAATAAACTTTATTTATAAACTTTCTCTACGATATTAATGGCTCCCCTGATGTTGAACTTGTGACGTCAATTTAGTCAAGTCTGGTTTATAGTTAGTCGAACACCTTCTCCTGTTTTTGCTTAAAATAAATTTCATTTGTGAAAATTTTTGCATGTGGACACATTTATAAGTGGACCCGAATGTGGACAAAATGGCAAAGCCTATTTTTTTAAATGATGAAAACCTTGTAGGAAGTAATGCCCAACATGTTGATATAATGAGAAAATCTTCTGTATTTTCCAAATTGTTCGCAATTTCTTGAATTTATCCATCCAGAATATTTAACTTGTAAAATCAATCATTTCTAAACTAAAATTTATACATATACAAAATACTGCAAATTTCTATTTTATTCTATTTTATCGGGATTTAGTATAAATGTAAACATTTCTCCATGTTTCTTAAGACTTTGAAACCGACTTTTATATTCACTTTTAATGACCTAAATCCAACTTTCGAACATATTTAGATTGCGTTCATCGATATTTTCTTTTTCATGTTCCCTTTTAAACAAGGAAAATACATTATTTTCTTTTGTTTTTATGTCAGTTTCAAATAATATCAATTTTGAAGTAAAACCTTTCCATTCCTCATACATTTTCAAAATTGTGTGGTTATGTCCTTAGAGTCGTACCAGAGACAAGAAATAATCTCTTGTTAGTTATCTCTTGTGTCTGGTCGTACCACCGATTTCGTGAAGAAATATTTGTATATCATCAAAATACTCTACAAATCTATTAAGAACTTTGCCCCGACTTAACCATCGTATTTCAAAATGTAATAACAAATCTCCATATTTTGATTCAATTTCCTCCCAAAAAAGCTTTAAGGCGCCTGTGTATTAATGCTGATCGCGCAATTCTCATGTTTACGATCTTAATAACTTCTTCCATTACATCCTTCAGTTGTTTTGCAGATGTAGAGGCAAATAAATGTTCTTTATGTATGATTCAATGAAACGATCAAAGTGAACGGCCAAGTTCATTTTTCATTAGTTTTACAAACCCAACAGTTTTTCCTCTAATACTTGGAGCATCGTCAGTTGTTATGGAAAACAATTTACTTTTTAAATCCAATACTTGCCTATTTTTGAAATTTTTGCCTATTTGTCATTCATTGTACTTCATTGACATTCGAGCTATCTATTGATGCAAATCTAAGAATTATTGCAAGCCAAACGATAATATTTATGTCGGAACAATTTATGAATGCGTTTTTCAAAAACTCGCCGTCTGTAAATGGTTTTCTGTTGGTACCAATGCTAAGAGATGCAACAAAGCTGGCAGACGTAGCGTGATTGTTGCTGGTAACAAAACTCTTTTTTTAAAGAATTTATTTTGTTTTCCAAAATTTAATAGACGTTTAGCAATCTATTCAGATTTATTTTCATTTGCCATTTCACTCACATCTTTATCTTTTGAAGAAATGTGTCGCTCAATATTATAAGTCCTGGCGGTAATT